GAAAATCAAATTTAATGGAAGATTAAACAAATAAGAAAAGAAAACATAGTCACCCATTTACTTTGTTAATATAATTTTGGTGTGAGTAATAATCTACATATTATGTACATTGCCTTCAAAAGTAAGGTGATCGTTTGATGGCAATATAGATAAAAACATACATATGTAGTTGGGCTAAACTTAGCCTGTTTGCTTGAGATAACGGGACTTCCAAATTCAATCACAGACCTTTGCACCGGTCACACCGGTATTCAATGCACACTAAAGTATTGAAACAAGTATTCCCGAAGGACCAGAAATGAGTTATTAAACGACAACAAAATTTAACAGCAGCCCGCCAAACACTCAACACTTACTGTTATGAGTATAAAGACACTAGAAAAGGGTGGTCCGTCGCATGCGATAAAAAAACATATAGCTGAAAATCGCACAAGATTATTAAATTAGAAAAGTCCGATACTTTGTGATATTGTGTCTAGCTAAGGAAGAAGTATATGTTATTGATGTACGGGATATCATAACCAAAATTAGATTTTTTATTTTAGACTTACTGTACTTTACTTTATTAAATGGGATATTTTAATTTGCATATTTATTCATATTTGGTGAATATTAAATGTAAATGTGTATATCCATAGATCCGTAGCTAAATGACAACTCTTCTGATCTAATATACACTATTCTTCAAATCAAGCGAATGTTTATTTCCCCTTATGCTTGCAGAAAATTTTCTATGCGGCAGAATGTTGATGACATTACAAGATAACAGAGCTACATTGAAACTGGCAAATATTTGACTGGATTATAGTATATTCCAATTATATTAATTAACATTGAAAAAATTACACAATACCTTTCAAGTTTTGTGCGCGAATGTTACCGTAAACAAATAAAGTCAGGTGATCACCCACCCTGTTATCAGATAACAGCGGAAAAAAACTACAAAAGTTGTACAAAATAAGTATTCAATATATTAACATAGCAAAATAACAAGTTTTAGCATTTTCAAAAATGCCTGAATGGGTATAAGGATGTTGTTGTTTGACATGAAGATTGTATTTCAATTCTACACCTATAACACGGTGTAGGTTACCCTTCTACAACATGGCGGATGGTGTGCCCTGTAGGCGCCAAAATTTCAGATCTTTTGGTGTCAATTTGTTATCATTTGGTATTATTTAAATGTCCCACTGAGAACTGGGACAACTAAAAATTGAATTATATAAAATTGCTTTTTGATCACGAAACAATCGAATTGGCGAATACATGCGGGACACTTCTATTAAGATGCATGGTATATACGGAAATATGATGAAGAGCGTGTAAACATATCATAATTCGAAAAATAATTGTTTGCTTTTTTTAGCACATTTCAAATCTAATTTGGTCCACTGACTGCAAAGACCGCCCGTTTCTCTCAATATCAAGCATCGTATAAAAAATCCGGGGGTTGCTAGTTCGATAATCGGGCTAGGCGTCATATCTTCGTGACAACTAATCGCGGGCATTGAATTTTATGGCCATTTGTCTTATAGCTGATAGGAAATCGTATGGGGCTTGTGACCCATTCTCTCAAATTAAAATAATAAATAAAAATTGTTAATGAATGCGTTAAAGAGTCTCATCAGTATCTTATTCATAGTCAAGATGATTGATGTATGATAACTACGTTCAAGTTTAAACTAAACGTGAATGAGTACTTCACATATAATCTTAAGAGCTGTGTACACAGATTAAATTAAATCTTATCAAAATTTTGAATAGCTTTAAAGTTAGAGAAATAAACAAATAAATCTGATTATAAAGTTTGATTGTAAACATGTTTGTTTTAACTTTTAAACTAAATTAGCTACGAGGGCACTATTAAAAGAACAATACAATGTATTTTTCAACAATAGTTCTTTCTGACCAAACTTCCATTGACCTAACTTTTAACAGATAGACATATATTTTAAACTCTAAAAAGAGACAACCCTCAAGTGTCTTTTTATGGGAAATTATTGAAAGTGCAGCGTTTCTCAATTTAACCCTAGTGTTATTAGACCCGAATTCTCCAAAGAATCATAAATATTGAGAAATCTTGATAACGGGGAGTCTCGAGAGCAATGGAAACAACAGAAAATGTTTTATTTATAGACTCATGAGACTAAATGGTGCAACATAACGCACACCCCCAAGCATCGTATTCATTGAGCACACTATGCCAATTTAATGCCATTGTTTTGGTTTTTTTTGTTGTTGTTTTTTGGAATTCAATATCACTAGCAATTAAAAGGAAAACAAATTTGTCAATTTAAAAAAAAAAATCAAGAAATAATTATTCAATCAATTTTAGTACGGTTCATGTAAACTTATTATATATACAAAGATACGATTGTTGTTTTTTTACATTTATTTTTATTTTTATCATATTTCGTACTATAAAATGTTGTCTAGTAATGGTTGTCTCTTTATTAGTTTACTTTGTTAGTTTTGACTTTGTTAATTGCAGATTGGAATGATACACTGAAAAAGGTTATTGTGTTTTATGATAGTTATTGATGAAATAAATTGTATGAATGTTCAGTTTATATGTTCATACTGTCATTACTATTTAATGATTTCTTTTACATGTTATATTGTTTTCGATTGATATGATTTTATGTAGAAGGTCGCATTGTAAATAAGGTGTTACAAATCTGCATATGTCTTACTGTTTTACCTCCTGTAAATATTTTTATCATCATTATTATACCATTATTATTACAATATGCGTTGTTTAAAAACAATAGGCTGTTATCTAATCTATATTTAAAGTCTGTCTTTTTTATCTTTAAATACTCAGGAAGAGTCTCTTTGTATTATTTTGTTTTCTTTGCATACATCTGTAACAGCTTTTTTTAATGTATTGGTTTGATTTAGTTTTGTCAAAAATGTATATTTATATTAATTGTTCTTTAATATGCATTTAGAAAGAGTTGAAAATTATATTCGCTTAATTTTTGCAGAATTCAAACTATCAATTGCAGACACAGCCGGAATCACTCAGCATGGAGGGAATTCAGGTACAAAGCAACAGCATAAATATACCAGTACACCTACCGCTACAAGTTCACTCAAAGAAACTAGTGATAAATCTTCTCACTCTGAAGCAACAATAAGAACAACTCAATCTACAGAGACATCTACAGTAAATTTAAATGCCGCAACATTGAAACATTTGTCAGGATCTAAAATTCAACCTTATACTTCAGTTCTACCTGATGGATCTTTCAATCCTAGTTCACCACATACGACTAAAGGATACAATGCCATAACCAAGTCCATGGCAGCAATTAACAATTCACATATTGGTTTTTCAGCAACTCGAAATGTATCGTCGCCGAACAATACACAGTCAAGCACAATTGATCAAACAAATGATGGTGCAAAAGGTACATGTACTAAAAGATTTTATTGTTCTATTTTTTAGAATATAACATCACAATATGTTATAACAAACTCTTCGTTACAGCACATATCAGAACCGGCATACACCGGTGCTATAAGAGGACACCCTTTTAAATGAACACCCTTAAATAATACAAGTTTGAACAACATTTGAATTTGTCCCATGCAAGCCGACTTTTAATGTCATTAATTTAGCTATTGTTCTATTCCAAGTTTAAAGTGCATGTATTTCATTTTCATAATTTAAAATGAGTTATTTAATGCTAATGCTTATGATGACAAAAAATCTTTTCAATTGTACATTTCATTCTGTTGGATATCAGTTTCATTTTCTAGTCAGCATCCTATGGTACTTAGCCTGGCAATACTGCATGGAAATGAAGGTTGGTATTGCCCTGTTCTAGAGGAATAGGTTAAAAAAACTATGACATCCATGAAGTATTTTATCTTTTTCAGTCAATGTCGGTGTCGTAATAGGATCAGTATGTGGATCTCTGTTTGTTTTTGCAATTTTAGCAGCTATTATTCTTTTGTTGAAAAGAAATAAGCGGGGATTTACTGTGGAACCAGACAATTCATCAGATAACTAAACTGTAAATGGATAATGAGCAGTCTAAATTATGCAAGTATAACAGAACTGAGATGAATTTGCAAGTGTGAAGTCTGCAGCATTGGACATGGAACGCTCGCTGCACAGCTTAGTGAATACACTCACGTTAGTGAAACATTTAACCGATGCGCAGGCGAATAGGGACATGGGATATGTTGTGTTATTGTGTTTATTCAGTTATGTGCTTTATAAAATACCTTTTCATCCAAATCAAAATCTTACATATAAAAATTTGTATCATGTCGTGTTTGTTAAAATTATAACTTTTATATATATATATATATATATATATATATATATATATATATATATATATATATATATATATATATATATATATATATATATATATATATATATATATATATATATATATATATATATATAAGCATTTTCTCATCGCATTGCAATGCTGAACAATTAACTTGTATATGCTGAAAGCTTTTTTATTTTTTTTAGACAATTGTTTTTTCGTTAAAGTTTTTTACTTTAAATTCCCACTGAATCCATTAAAAAGCTAACAAAGGTAATTGTAATAATTGGTTATTATTATCTTATATATAATTATACAAATTGCGAGGCATAATTCAGCTTAGACTGTCTGATTCATATTTAAGGACAAAACACCGAATTTTCATTTTCATTATTGTTATACAATCATGTTTTTAAACTAAATACTAGTATTGTAAATATGTAGTTTAAGATTAAAAGCATGACATTAGCAAAATGTTATTATCATTTAGTATTTTGTGTTTTTGAAACAGTTCTAACATATCTTCCTGATTAAAATACTTAAAATAGCAAAAAAAATATCTACTTCAACTAGTCTACAACATTCGAATTTTAAGTATGTTAAACGCGCTGATCTTTGCTCTTATGTTTTATCTGAATGTCCTCCTTGGTGTGTTGGTAAATACATGCCAAATACTTGTAATAGGATATGCTGTAGCTTTATTCAGTCTTGATAATCAGGCACAGTGTTAATCACCGGTAAATCAAAATCAGTACACATCCGACGGGTACATAGAAAAATGTATATAATGCCAGAAAGTTCCGGAATTAATTTCATTAAGAAATTGGAATGCTTGTCAGTTATCGCAGCCTTGATTTTGTTGACATCTATAAATCCTCTACAGGACCTTTGTGCAAATGTTGGTCCACACAAGAATGAAACTCTTAATAAATTTTGTGATTGGAGTACTTGGTATCCATGGAATTGTGAATGCTGTAGCATGTATCAGTTTCAATTTAGAAAACGCGCGATTTGTTGTGAGAAGACAGGGAAGCTACCCGATTGTTTGCAAAAGTGTAATTATTCGGAGAAGAGCGACACATCTTACAAGAATTGCAGTACAGATTGTACCACGAACGCTGGACTAAAGTGTCAAGAAACCGCACCTTTGAGTTTATTTGCGTCGACTTCTTCACCAAGTAATATAGGTTTTAAGTTGTCTTCATCCACTACAGATATTCTCAATTATCTCGCTTTTCCCCATTTTCTTTCAAGTATAACATATTTACATTATTAATGTTATTAATGGCATATTCGTTTAGTATTTTATATTGGGGTTAATTTAACAAAATTTGTTGTCTTCCGTAGATCATATGCTTCAAATAGACACGATTTTAGTTTATCCATGTAAATTAGCCACTTATCTGATTCTTTATGAATCACGGAAAGTTGAGAACTATGAGTAAATCTCGTAATCTTCAACAAACAGTTTTCATTTTCAGCTAATTATTCTCAAATACAAATTAATACAATATTTCAAGTTCTTAACATTCTTTGTTTTCTTCAGAAATTTTTTTAAAGCAAACGAGAGCATGTTCGATTATTTATATTCTGTTCCATGTGTAAGAATGATTATGGGAAATTAACAATATGATTTTTTCAAAACTATTCAAGTACCAAATATCAAAGAATACAAAAAAAACGTAATTGCGAAAGGCTAAAACTTCAGTTGCTTTTTAAATGAATACTCATAATATGACATAGGTAACTTGTAAGCATTCTCAACCTTGATTTTGTTAACGTCTATAACTTTGTCGGTTTTATTTGGATATTTCACACGCATAAATTCCTAGCAAAAACAATCCATTTTCTTAGTGATTGTTGAAAATGATTGTAAGATTGATGTTAGAAGTGTCTATTTTGTGAAGCCAGAGGAAGCCATCAGAGCGGATGTTGAAAAAATTGTATTTATTAAAGGATTAAAGGATTTAAGTCACTGTACTGTTGGAGCAGTAATCATGATAAAGTAGAAAAATGTCGTGATTTTGTTTGTTGTTGTTGTGTTGTTGTTGTTTTTGTTTTTTCGGCTATTATAATATTTTTCAGTCATTATCGTATATCTGTCGGTGTGAAAAGATGAATAGATGTCAAAAAATATATTTCGGCGGGTGAATCTGCAAGTCCTTAACATTTTATCATTATAGCGCCTTGTCCGGTATATATCGGAATACGATATTTAGTGTTGTGTTCCAACACCATTTTAGTCTCACTCTTTATTAAATATATATGATATTATTTTATATGATATATATGATACAAAGTATATTCGCTTTATTGTTTTAGATTCCAAACAAGCGTCCGTTACCACAACATCACACATGTTGACGAACACTACACAGTCGAAATATGGTAATGCTGCAAAAGGTATTGTTTGGATCGTTTCTTCCATTTTATTTTTAGGAAATGAATCCTATTTTTAGAACGGTAAATTCTAAAATTTAGAATGATCATCGTGAATTATTACTTTACCCTAGCACACGATGCACGATGCTAAGATGGATGGTAGAGACGTGATGGTGCTATGTCGAAAAAACGATTGCACAATGGTGAAATAGAGATTATGTTGTGGTTCAATGGTGAACTTTCGTTGTTATATATAACGTTTTTCTCGTAAATTCATCGCGTTTTCATCATCGCATCATTGCGTTTTCATCATCACCTCATTGAGTTTTTACCATCGTAGCCTAAGCATACCTGTTTTTTACAGATTGTTTATTTGATATATAAGTACGAAAAGAGTTTTCTACATATATAGTAAAATTCATAACTCAAAACGGCTCTCCCTGACCTTTATAGTTTAGTACATTTGAGAAAAAAAGACGGTGCGCAAATCATTAAATAGATTGCTCAATAAAAAAAACATATACACATATGAAACCTTACAGTAACAGGTAAAAAATGTTTCTTAGCATGATTCGCATTTTCAATAAAAAAATAAAGAAAACATGCGATCTTTATTGAAAATACAACGCTGTTTTTAAATGCAAACGCACCTGTAAATTAACACAGTGTTATGTTACTAAGGACAGTAGTCTTTGATATATTTTTTTTTTTGCTTAAGTATATCTGTACACGTATCAAAAAGATACGGTATTTGATATCATTATAAAATTTATCAATTTTCCCATTTTTATATATGATTGAATAAATTGGAATATTTTTGTCAATGGAAGATTCTGTCTGCGTAGTGTGTATCCAGATCATCAGGGATTGGTCAGTTCAGCTGAACTTGACTATGAACACTCGTATAAATGAAAATATGAGCATAATGTCACTTTCATGTAAATTTGAGCAATAGGTCGAAACTTTCAACCTTCTTTGGAGATTTTCATTAGTTGGTGTTTGCATAAACCAGTTTAAAATTGCAAATATTTGAAATTTCCTTCATAAACGGGATTAAATTGGCAAAATCAAAAGAGCTAGAAATACTTGTCAATATTTTCTTGACTTTGAGGATGCTATTTTTACCAAAGCATGGTATTATCATCAAGCCCTGGTGATCTTGATGCATACCGCGTTCTCTATTTAGATAAAGAAATGTCCGTCAGTAGTTAACGAATAGTACTATAAAATGCAAGCCTGGCACGATACTGGCGGCACAGACCTGTTTGTTGATATATATCGCCGATAGCTGTCAAATATTAAAGAAACAACTGTTATTATTAATTGTCAATCGGTTAGTTCTGAATAAAGAAGTCCATAATATGGCATGATTTTTATATTTCAGCGCCTGTCGGTGTAGTCATAGGAGCGGCGTGTGCCTCTCTGATTGTATTTTTAGCAATTTTGATCGCCGTCATCATATTGTTGAAAAGAAAGACGTGGAAGCGTAGATAAAGTGTTGAACCAGATAATTCATGGAAAAAATAACACAAAGCAAGTGAACACAATCATAATAAACAGCCTACAGTTATCAAGTTTTATACAACTGAGAACAATAATGTGTGTGTTGCATAAAACTGCCATTAAGAAATGCTGTATATGGCTTTTATTTTTTGATTATCTTTTATGTGCTTCCTATGTGCTTTTTTATGTGCCTACAATTGTTATGTATATACACAATGTACAGGGGGGAGCTAGGTCCAGTGGGCATTTTAAAGGGGAGCAGGAACAAAAACCCCATTCCCTCTAACAAAACAGGACAGGGGGCACTTTAAACCCCCCCCCTCCGATTTAGTTATGGTCCCAATTTTTAAGACTGTTCTCCTACTGGGTTGGGGTCTGCAATGTCATTGGTCTTTGTGTTAGTGTTTGAGTATGTGGTAGTTGCTGATCAGCTTTTCCCATATTTTATTTTGGGTTTAACTTTTTTTAAACCTTTTTATTGCTTAACTTTTAACTTAATATTAATTTATTTATATATTTATTTTATTTTTCTTCAAAACTTTCCCCACATGACTTATCTTTGTTTAAGGCCAGTTCAAGATCAGCGACTGCCACATAAAACATTTCAAAATTTATTTTGATGCATGTACATATTACTTTACATTCATAGTTTCATGGTTGAATAAATAACAGATGCTGCTACTGACATAAGCTCATGCAGCATGTTGGTCTCACTGAAATTAATCTGATTCCTCATTTTTATTTTTGTTTTAATCCTGATTATAAGGTTAAGTGTATATAAAATGAAATACTTAATATATGTTATAATATTCTGTGATATTTGCATGTAGTGTGATATTTGCTTATAATTAATTATTACCTTATCAAGATTGATTTTTGCTTATTAATCTTAATTTATTTTTCAGATTCACTTATAAATGAACGTTAATGCAATATGCCTCATCTGTTATTGCCTTTTTACATTTTAATGACGATTGATCAAATGAATAAAAACAAAACAAAATCATAGAACTCAATGTGATCAAAATTTAAAGGTACAGTTATTAACCCTATTTTATAATTTTATTCTTTTATACAGGCTGTTTGTTTGCATGTTAAAAGCCCATTATGCCTCAGAAATGCTGTCAATTTTATTTCTTAAAACCTTTTAATTTTTTGGTATCTTGTTACTGTTTCAAAAAAAATATGGTATAATTATTAGTAGTTTATATGAAAGTCAAAATAACTTTTTGTTTACATTTTACTACCTTTATGACACATAATTCCACGTTCATCGCTACTTTCGTCAGTTATAAAACATCTTATATGCTCTAAATCCATAATTAAACACATGTTTGACATCTCTAAAAAAAAATTAAAAAAGAATGAATTTCTGAGGTATAATGTGCCTTATAATGAAAACATTAACTAAACTATTCCAAAATCAAATTAAAATAAATAATTGAAGTTTAGCAGTTATTTTTTTGTTTATAAAGAAAGCCCAAATTTAAAATTGATTTTGAATATGGGATTTATTTTGCGGACAAAAAGGGTTTTTTAATTGTTTTTAAAATAAATCTTTTAAAAAAAATTCAATACATCACACAGCTTTAAATTTTGGGGCCATTTTGAATTTTGTTTTTTTCCATTTTTTTCAAATGGAAGGAAAAGGTTTCCTTTCTCCGGTACTTTCCCCAAAAAAATTTCTGGCTCTGCCATTTCATTGAAATTTTTTTAAATAAAGATGTTTGAGCGATCATCGAAAAGGGAACTGTTGTGTGTCGGACAAAACGCATCAGTATAAGCGCTGTTGCATAACATCTGATTTTTTTCAATGACTGAAGAAATTAAAGCATTATTACATTTTAAAGTTTTCTCTTTTTCTTTTGAGATGATTTGGATAGTGCTGTGCTGACATAGTTCTGACTTCCAAAACATAAGTAGCCGCCTTTTATGTAGTAAAGCGAGGTCACACGTGCACATTTTTATTGCGGTTTAATTTGTGATGCCTTTAATGCCTTATAATCTATATTTATGTTCAAATTTAAGGCTTTATTGTTGATCCTTTGCTTATTAAAAGTTTATATATCGTTTAATATGGATATAATTAATTAATGTCTTGCGATAAACCATTACGAGTGTGTCAGTACTATCTATATATAAATAAGACACGTAGTTTCAGATTCCTCGCACAATTATTGTTTAGTATTCCGTATATGGCATTGTCTTAAGGGAATTGTACCCGTCCTGTCACAGTGTAAAACGAGAACTACTATGGAAGTAATGGAATTTTCGTGTCATTTCGCTTCACCTTTAATTTCGATTTTCACAACTGCGCAGATCTAAAGGTAGTATTTTATTCGGTTCTTCTAAAAGTATGCATTGCATAGCTGTCCATTCCTTCGCAGCAATTTCACTTGTACGTAAAACCTCGCTTGTTGTAACATATATTAGCAATTGATATAGAGAATAATAGGTTGGTGCCTTAGATGGAGAAAGTTTATCTGGCAAGGCGGACCCAATAAATTCCGGAGCAGAGCCAGAAAAACTTTCTCCATCCACGGCACCAATCTATTATTCTATTTATCCTGTCACCGTTTTTTTAAAGAATTTATTAGGCAAACTACCTTTAATCACACTATCGGAAATGTTTCTTTATTAACAAAGAAGGCCCGAAGCGTGCATTATTCTACAACAATGCACTCGCCGTTCTTATTATCTCCCTTGACGGGGCCATTTTGTTTGAAAAATGTGATATATATAAAAACAAATTTTTGTCGAATTTTGTTGTGAAAACTATCTAGAATGAAAGAAAATGGTCTAACTAAGAAAATGAATTCGAACACCAATATCTTTTATTCAGTCGTTAACGCTGTACAGACGTTTAAAGTATTGTTTACGGGACGTCACAATGTAGCGCCAAACAGAACAGAACAGAACAGAACATATTGTTTATTAGATTTTAGATTTAAACATAGTTTATCATCTATACATGCATTACATATAAAGGTCATGTCAAATAAATATAAAATTAATATGAATATAAATATTATTTACGTAAATGAAGGTATGTGTTGACAAGCAAATTAATTAACTCATTTAAACAGTCGGCAATAAATTTAAATATAGAGTTTATGAAAAGTCATTTTGTCGTAGCATATTTTCTCGAATTTTAAGTGCACATTTGATGAAAAC